CCGACTGGGGATTCAGGGCGGGGTTGGGGGGTCCTGGGGATGCTGCAGTCACCCTGCCGGGGCTGGAGCCTGGGGTTCCTGCAAAAATTTCAGAGAAATTTCATCTAGCTTGAAAACCCTGAAAGGCAGGGTCTGAGCTGAAGGGCAGTAGGTTTCTCACCAACTGGTGGGCTGCTGCTTTGAAAATACAGAGAGATGAGAAGAGGTAGGGAAGGGGAGGAGGTTGGGCAATGCAAAATTGCTGCAAACCCTGCCCCACACACCTCTCCGTCACTTCTGTGGCCCCCCACTTCAGTCCCTTTGTGCCAGCCCCAGGGTTTCCCCCAGCAGTCCCCTCCGCCATCCACAGCTCTCTGCCACTTTGTCCCTAACGGGCGCCCCGGCTGTCGCTTGCAGTTGAAGACAGCGAGGAGGGCTGCGAGGTGAACGGCCGGGTCTATCGAGACGGGGAGGTTTTCCAGCCCAGCTGCAAACTCCAGTGCCGCTGCCTGGACGGGGGCTTCACCTGCGTCCCACTCTGCCAGGAGGACGTCCGGCTGCCCACCCCGGACTGCCTCTACCCGCGGCGCGTGGAGGTCCCGGGAAAGTGCTGCCCAGAGTGGATCTGTGAGGCCCGGGACGCTCATCTCCTTCGGGATGCTGGGGCAGGTAAGCTGCAGGACATGCCAGTGAGGAGATGCCCATGCAGGTCTCTGGGGATGGTCCCTTCACCCCAGATCGTGAACATCAACAGGAGACACCTCATTGCACATTTCCCCACCTGTGCTCGCAGCACCCGCAGGGCATGCTGCACGGTGCCCGGCTCCAGCCGCCCTTTCTCCCCTCACCTCTTTTCATCCAGCCCCCGGGGCAGCGTCCCCGCCGCTGCCGTACCCCTGCCAGGAGTGGGGCACCGAGTGGAGCGCCTGCTCGGCCACCTGCGGCGTGGGCTTTTCTACCCGCGTCTCCAACCAGAACCGCTACTGCAGGCTGGAGACTCAGAGGCGGCTCTGCATGGCCAGACCCTGCCCGGCTCTGCCGGCAGCATCCCCGGCGGTAAGTGAGGGCCTCGGTGAAGCGGGCACCTCTGGGCAACAGGTTTGACCGAGAAAGGCAAATGCTAGCCAACACGAGCCGTGAGACCCTCAATCACCTGTGGGCACCCTGTGACCCCTCCCCAGCCATGACCTGACTGTGACTCAGGGACAGATAAACCATCTCCCAAAACTGTGCTTGGAAAACAGCTGATGGCAGGTGCAGATCTGAATTTTGTAGTCTCTGGGTGTCTGAATCCAAGAGCACCACGTAACCCTGAGCCACACAGGTGAGCTCCATCTGCCCCTATGGCCAGAGATGCATTTGCAGCTCCTTCCTGGCTCCCTGGGTACACCTGAGAGGTGGCTCTGCCACTCCTTTCATTGGCCTGGCACAGCCCCAGTGGGGACACAGTGCAAAACCGCCTTGCTTGCATGCAGCCGGTGCTTTTTGGGGCCAGGCGCCGGCACTGCCACATGCCCCTGCTCCCTAGACGTGGGGGACATGCCACCACCCTGCTCCGTGTCTCCATCACTCTCTTCACGCTCTGCCTTTCCAGAGGGGAAGAGGAGGCCGTTGGTAGCCGTACCCACCCCGGTCGCATCCTGGAGCCAACGCCTCATCCCGGCAAAGAGCCTGGCACAAGCCCACGGACTGTGGTTTCGGCAGAAACAGAGGACGCGTCCCTTGGGAAACTGGGGAAGAGCTGATGGACTTTGGCTGCAAAGGAGTGTGGAAATAGAGAACAAGATCCCCGTGTCACCCAGCACCTGCCTCCTCTGTGTACCCCAGTGCCCCAGGCAGCGTTACTGGGCAGCATCCCTGACTGTCTTAGGCTGAATGAAATGGAAAATGGGGAAACCCTGCCCCGAGCGTGAACCCACACGAGCAACCAGGAATTGGTCCTTTCCCAGATCGGTGGGGCTTTCGGAGGGGTGCTGCTGCTCCTCCACCACATCGCGCATGCAGCTCTGCGGGGCTGCGAGAGACACCACCTCCAGCACCGGGACGCCCAAATCCCCGGGGGGAACCCTCACGCCCCGGCCCCTCGGGGAAGGAGCAGGTACATCGGGCTGTGCACCACAAGTCACCGCCGCGCCAGGCTGAGCAGCTCAACCGTGCACAAGCTCGGCCATCCCACGATATCCACCCAGCAGCCCAGCAGCCGCCTTCCTGGGCACGGGCAGAGGCGTCCTGCTGATGGCAGCTCTAATTCACCTTCCCCGCATCTCTCCAGAATAAACATGAATCTTCCTGCTCTGCCTGGCCTCCTCCTCTCCAAAGCGCTGGCGGTTTGGCAGGGCTTCGGCGAGCGAGGAGCTCAGACGCAGGAGACACTGC